GTCTGGCGCCTATGCCATCTCCTAAGAAGGCGCAGCCAGCGAGACAGTGGCGTAGCGTCTGGGCATGCAGGGTATGCAGGTGCATATGGGCCCGGGCAGTTTGGGGGCCCGCCAAGCCCAGGGGAACTTTTAGTTGAAACGAGAGAATGAATAGAGCCCAGCACGGGCCCGGACCTTGTCCGACAGCTTATCAGAATTCTCGCCCCGACTGGATCCCCTGCCCCTTCCCTTTTTCTCTTCCCCTCACACAGCTGCTGTTGCAGCCATTACAATATTTTAGTTTTGGTTTTTAATGGCAAAGTGGTCATATTTCTTTTCGTTTCTTTATTAAGTTAATTTAGAAATATGTTTGGAACATTCTATGTTTGTTAAATTCAAGTTTTTGTTTTTTAAAGGAACGACCAAGCGGCCAGGGGCAGGAAGCGTGATGAGCATATGTTTGATCAATTTAGCCGCATTCTCAAATCAACACGATTAGATTAGATTAGATTAGATTCAACTTTATTGTCTCTGTGCAGAGAACAAGTACAGAGCCAATGAAATGCAGTTAGCATCTAACCAGAAGTGCAAATAACAGAGTATATAAATAAATATAGATTATGTGTATATAAATGTGCAAGGGAATGTGCAAAATATCAGAGAAATGTGCAAAATAATAGAGGGAATAATAAGAACATTGTGAGTGAGGGGTGCAGACAGGTTAATGTTCTGAACAATTTTTTTTTTTTTTAAGTTAAGCATTAGGTGGTCCATCTAGGATAATCGTCAGAAACCCAGGGCTAGTTGACACCCCAGCTCGTACAGCTACCCTCACCTACGACACGACACTGCCACGCGCATTATCCTGCCCAACCAAACTTTATGGATCAATGTCCCAAAGGGCTCGATCCTCCACATTGACGATTTAGCATTGTACCACCTTACCGACGACGGGTATCAGGCCGAACTCGAAATCTCACCCTTCTTCAAACAGCATTCTTTCATCTTCGATCCAAAATTGGAAGAAAGGATCAAGGAGGAAGGAAAGCAACTTATTGATCTGACTCTTGTTGATACAGCCTTAGAAGCTATTGCGCGCCTTCCGCCCGCTGGCGCGCCAATCCTTCGGTCTTGGTCTGCCGCTGACACAGCGCTTTGCGTTTCTACTATGGTAGGATTCCTGTGTCTGATGCTTCAGTGTTTCAGCAGCCTTAGGTAGGAGGCAGTCTGTTGCAACACTTAGCCATGTCTTGAGGTCCTCCCAGTGGCCAATAGAGTCTGTTGTGCGAGACATTCATCCAGCGAACGGTCCTGTTGCTCCAGGCACAGGAGTAGAACAGCTGGGATTTCCATTCCGGGAGAGGAGAGAAACAAAAACAAAAGAGAAAGAAAAACGCCACTATATTGATACTCAATTTGAGGGTCGGTTATTCTGTTACGGTATCTCCAATGAAGGCGCAGAAGACGAAGGATAATCCACAACGAGAAGTCTTTAATATTATAATCCACATAAACTCAGGCAAAGAAACAGCTCAGGGTAGTCATAACATCAAAAATGAAACAATAACCGACAAACTACTGAACAGAAAGAAGACTAAGTAGGGCAGCTGACAAGGGGAAAACAGGTGAAGGGAGTTAACTAATAATGACTAACGAGCAAATTAATCAAAAACCATGGAAACTGATAGACAAGGGGACTCAGGGAAATGTGGAGGCAGAAACAGAACCAAAACAGAACATAACAATGACACAGAGGTTATGCTAGTACTATTTATCTAACCCCCGATAGTTATATAACTACGCGTACACCTCGCTTTTCAGACCGATGAGCTTTGTAAAAATCGACGCGTTTCAGAAAGGCAGGGCATAGAGGAGAAACAAAAATGTACAGTATGTGGAAAATAATGTGTTTTTTTAACCTTAAACCGCATAAACACATTTCATTACACCAAATACACAAAATAATGTTATTTTTAGCAACATCATATTGAGCCCTTTAACTAAACCTGAGACAATAATCAGAGGTTATGCTAATAATATAAAACATGTTAGTATTTTAGTAGTATTTTTATCTAGCCCCTGAAAGTTAGAAATAAATATGTACAACTTGAATAAAGCTCAAACAATAATCAGAAGTTATGCTATTACTATTTATCTAGCCCACGATAATTAATATAACTACGTACAACTTGAATAAAGCTGAAACAATAACCAGAGGTTATGGCTAGTACTATGAAGTATCCCCGAACCATGCTAGCCCTCCAATAGTATTTTGTCTAGCCCCCCATAGTTAATGCCACTGCATAACAACTTAACTAAAGTCAAGCAGTTAGTCAGAAATCTAGAATCTCACCTGATGTGCCCCATGCCCCATCTAACCTGAGATCGAGTATGTACTTAACCCTGGATGCAGATTTGCGGTAACATACGCCTTCACATTATAAATTCAGATATTATTTTGTCTTGTGGAGTATATGTAAACATCTGTTATGTGAAATAGCTTATTCAGGACATTCACTGATCCCGCTCTGCTTTAACGCGCGGCTGGCGCATGCACCTGGTAGCGCCGCTTCACACTTTTGGAGTACTTGGCTTGCTTTTTGCAGTTTCGCGTGGGCTGTAATTTAAAAACAGCGCCTAATATGAGGTCTCCCTCTCTTCGGCGATCGACCCACCGGGAATGTCCCGGTGCTCCCGATAGCCAGTAGCTACATCGCTGTGTATGTTCAAGTAAGCTAGATATTACTTGAATAAAACCCATTATAAACATTTAATGAACAATCAGCAGATTACAGCTTCACCCACTGTACAAAAGGTGTGACAATTAGCAGACCCCATACATATGTTGGCCTACAGGCCTCGATCACAATCAGCACCTCTGTGCCTTCAGGAATTCCAAATGGACCATTTGTTACTGAAGGTAATTTTGGGACAGGAAAGCAGACATCTTTGATCATTTTCAAGCCTACAACTGCACAGGACAAACATGGAACCTATCAAAAAAAAATAAAAATAAAAACGTGGATCATCCAGGTATTGACACACAGTATTGAGAGTCAAGCGCATGTAACCTTTGGAACTGCTTAATTTATGTAAATGCATATACTATTAGGCAGTGGTGTAGTGGTGCCTGGAGAAGTGGGTATACTCTTAATGCGATTGGATTAGCTATTCATGTGGTGGACTGTCATGATTTTGCCTAATGCAGGACACTAATGAATGATGCACATCAGAGGGGATTTAGAAGTGGGTATACGCAAAGCCGACTGATGAAGAAGTGGGTATACGCCGTATACCTGCGTATACCCTCCACTACACCACTGCTATTAGGCCTATGTCTTGAGAACAAAATGCCAATGTCTGTTATGTGCAAAATCATCTATTCATGGAAGTACTAAACAAAAATCAGCATGCAATTTCTGATCCTTCATATTTATTTATTTATTTAATTATTAATATTTTGCGGATTCTGCCAGATGAAAACTTTTGACCTCTACTATATAATGGCTACTTATAAAACAACAAAGAATGCAATATGCAAATGAAACATTTTAGAGCTGAGCGTAACTGAGCAAAACTATTCCAAATTTCACTATGACAATAATTATTTACAGGTTTTATTTAAATCCATGATTTTTCATGCACTGGAAATCACATTTTTTATATTCTCTGATATTTTAAAAATTTTTCTATGCATCAATTTTGCAATGTATCAATGGTTTAATGACGTTTGACTAGATAGTAGAACTCAATTGTAAGAGAGCTATTGGCTCATGTGATTGTCAGTGGCTGACTTAAGCTGGCTGCACACTAGACGATTTTCAAATCTTAACCAATTTTAAAACCATGGGAGACCACAGACATGAAGACAGTTCAACCGATTTTTAGCCTTATAATCCTCTGAACGCACACACTAGACGATTCGACCAGACCGCGAGACCACACACTTGTTGATTGTAGGAACGATTTCACAGTGACACGTGATCTCATGGACACTCGCAAAATCAAATGTGACTAGAGAAGAAAAACAAATAGAGGACAATCAACGTTGTCAGCTGGTTCCTGTCTCCTGACATGCGTTCTGTTTCACAGTGAAAAACAAAGCATAGAAAAGAATATGGGTCATGTTCTCTGCTTTCATGGCATGTTTGTGGCTGCCAAGTTTCAGCTATAGAAGCACGCAACATCCTGTAGGTGACGCTTGCTCGCTCTCATTGGCTATATCGCAGGTATCACGTCAGAGGCAGCCCGATCGAGAGAGATTTGAGTTCGGCGATGCTCCGTCTCAATCAGGAGCAGTTAAATAATCGTAATGACACCGGGCTTAAAATCGTCTAGTGTGCGGCCAGCCTTAAGAAGCGATCAGACATGAGCTGTGCAGAAGCCTCGGAAAAAAGAACGTAGATGAGGACATGAATGCTTTTTACAAGTCGGAATCTTGTAATAACGATAAATGTGACATGACGTGAACGCAGCTAAAGTGCTGAGATTGTCGCTGTGAGTTGTAGAAAAATAAAAAAAATTAGCTACTGTAATTATGGAATTTAATCATTTTAACTATTTTTAATTATGATATTTAATTATTTTAATACATTGCTGCTCCTACTTTCTGTAAATAAAGTGTAAAATTGAGCAGCTGTATTATTACAGCAAAAGTATCAGAAATATTTTAGGGGGCTTTCACATTCATCACACTTAACTTCTATGTTGAAAATGATCAAATGTCTTTAGTTACCATAAAACTTGCTATTTTGTCTTGCACAATCCAACAAAATATCAAATCATTGCAACTGTTGTCAACTAGTGATTTGTTCTTTGATATCATTTTCTTTAGTTCCTACTGTAGGTTGTGCCGGCTGCTAGATGAGCCTTCTGGCTTTACATTTACGTATTTGGCAGCAACATTCATTGCATTTAAGGTATATATTTTAACAGTTCATAGATTCCCTGGCAAAACAAACCCCTGACCATTGAATTGCTAGTGTCATGCTACTATTTGTGTTACAGGAATGATTTCTTACTAAGGAGACCTTCCTGCTGTTTCGCTTGTTGATGTCAGTCAAGTTCTTCTGATTACTATAGGTTTCTGGTTCCTATAACCAAAAAAAAAAAAAATAATTCCAATAAAACTTGTATCATAACAAATATTTAATACATTGCTAATAACAACTGTAGCTGTCTTGAATATTGATAATCTCTCACATGAAAACAATCTCACATGCAATTTGTGCAATAGGCCTGTTTAAAGCAGTCATTTTGTAAAGTATATACAGCTTTGTTACTCAATAGTGCTGCTTTGTGCACCCAGAAATCATACAAGAATCATACAATCATACAGGAATCATACAATAAATATTTGGTAGAATTTAAGCCACATTTATTGCATGAATGTCATTTCATTACACTTTTCAATCCAAACATTTCACAAAGGCGCCTGTTAGATTTTAAATGGTAAAACAATAGATAAACTATACAAAATAAAAGCTGGAAGTATTTGGATACTTTTTTGTCATACATTTACTAAAGATAAGTAATTTACTAATGTGATGAACTACACCTATGAACTTGACTTCATTTAGAATATCCACTAAAAATCATTTTAGAACCAGCTGGGTAAATGTAATTGGAAAAAAGGATAAGACAATTAAAGTTAAAGGATTGGCATGATCCACTGTACTCATCAATTTTTCCAAACATTTTACCAACATGTCCTTGTCACAGATATCTAGGGACACAGCCAAGTGATGCCTATAGATGATCATGCTGTTATTATTGAGGATTTAAAGTTAATTGACCTAAATTAAGAAAAATCGAGAGAAATTCAAGGTCACAGTCACGGGTCACAGTATACTTAATAACTGGATAATGTTAGAGCAAGCAAGCAAATAAATGTTTTTAAATTAATAACTTCTGATGTAATGCTTTCAGCTGTCATCCTTGTTTTCTTTGCATTAAGAGGATACACTTGGATTAGAAAAAAGTGGGTTCTCAACGAAATAAGCCCTTCATGTTAAGTGATGGCTGATGGTAAAAACACAGTTAACAACTTACATAGTTAACTTGCATTTGTCACTGAGTATGTTTACATGGACAACAATATTCCGATTTTAACACGATTAAGACAATACTCTGATTAAGAATCTACCATGTAAACAGAGATTTTTGATTATCTTAATCCGGCTAAAGTCATACTCGAAGTAAACACAAATCAAATTAAGACATGTGGAGTATTCCTATTTTAGTCGCATTATTGAAGTGCAGTATAGACATGTAGTGGTCAACCATTTGACAGCAAACAAAAGAGCATGGCTTCAACAATGCCATCGTCTGTTTGCACATATAGCATGACAAATAAATTAACTGCACTTGAAGCTTCCGTAAAATTAAAAATAAAACACCCAAAACTGTATATGGCACCATAACGAAGACGAACTATGTTTATATGTGAAATTCTGGAGGGGACATCAGATGGCGTCGCGTGGGGACTTAATGACGTGTGCCATTAATCAATCTATGTACTATAGCATGTAAAACGGGATCATGAAAGGAATATTCTAAAAGCCACTCATGTAAACACCATTATCATAATATTGTCTTATTTAGAATAAGGTAAATAATTAGATTACTGATGTCCATTTTACCATAGTCACTGTGTCATACTTCAATTTATTGACTTGAGACATCATAACAGAACCATATGTTCTTTAAAATCATGCATGGTGAAGAACACTGGAAAGAGAAGTGAGGAAAAATCTAAAGATCCTGATGTTGCTTTCCATCTCACCACAACTGAACATTTTGCAGTTCCACGTCACCCAGAATTTCCAGCTGATCAATGGAGCTCAAGTCCTGCACTCTGTGCCTATAATCCAGCAGGTGGGATCCGTTTACTCCTATCCTAAACTGAGGAAGCTGACATAGGATGATCATCTGACAAGAAGAAGCAAAAAAAAAAAAGTTAATGTTTTCCAGTTTTAGAAATATACCATGCTTGCCCAAGACAAATAAAGTAACTTACAGTAACTATCTGACAGAATCCAGAAAAAGAAGTACTTCGCTAACTTTTTTCTTACAAAATACAGTTATCAAAACTGAAACTTATTTAGCTTTATATAAATGGCAGTATTAGTAACATGGTAAAACATGCTAACAACATGTCAACAACATGTTAAAACATGCTAGAATCATATTAATGTGGTAAACATATTAGAAACAACATAGAAATGTCCTAAATTTGCTTGAACATGCCAGCAATGCGGTCTGATGTTGTTTAACAAAAACAGAACATCAGCTTGAAATCTTCAATGGCACTTTTCTTTGAATTGTGGGTTTGTTCTTGCAAATCTTTAAGGATTAGTTCACCCAAAAATGAAAATTCTGTCATTAATTACTCACCCTCATGCGATTCTAAACCTGTAAGATCTTTGTTCATCTTCAGAATACAAATTAAGATATTTTTTTTATGAAATCCAAGAGCTCTCTGACCCTCCATAGAGAGCAATGCAACTGAAATGTTCCCAGACCCAGAAACATCTGTAAGGACATCTGTAAAATAGTTGTCACTATCACCAGCTGGAGTGCCCTGGACACTCACCAGAGGGCACTCCACCCCACACTGTTGCCACTGTACTCTGGACTCCATTTCCCATAACCCTCTGCCTAGGAACCAATCTACAGACACACCCATTTCCAATCAGGAGGACTATAAAGGTCACACACACACATGCACGGCAGAGTACTGTTTTGCATAGCGGATATTACCAAGCATTTCCCTTGCCTTGTTTTCTTGCTTTGCCTGTCTTTTTGACCCTGGACTGTATTCTTGTGTATTGTGAAAATTTGCTGCCTGCCCTGACCATTGCCTGTTTTGTGGATTACTCTTTGTTTTGCCTTGGATGTTACTGATTGCTGGTGTTTTGACCCTGCCTGTTTTAACCAATGGCTGCCATTCCAGAGCCGTTTCCCAAGATGACTGCCAGCCCAGAGTCTCTTTCCAAGATAGCCGCTAGCTCATAGTCTCGTCCCAAGATGGCTGCCAGCCCAGAGTCTCTTCCCAAGATGGCCGTCAGCCCAGAGTATCTCCACAAGATGGACGCCAGCCCAGAGTCTCTCCACAAGATGGTCGTCAATCCAGAGCCTCTCCACAAGATGGCTGCCAGTCAAGAGCCTCTCTACAAGATGGCCACCATGCCACGCCAGAGCGTCCAGCCGTTATGGATATCAAGTCACAGTCTTTAGCCATCGCAGTTGTCACTTCAGTGTTCCCGGTCATTGTGAACGTTGCATTTTAAGACAGCCAGGCATTCCACAGGTGTTTGAGGCTGGTTTCCAGTTTGGTGGACCCACCGCTGGTTTCAGCCAGAGCAGCTGGCATTCCAAGGGCCTTAACACTTGTCGTCACACTTGTCGTCCCCTATCCTCAGTCCTCCCTGTAATGGCGGTTGCCATTTTGTGTGTTTGGGCCACACACTGCTCCTCTACTCCTCCAAAGTCCGCTCTAGTCCACAAGTCCGTGGCAGCTCCCACTGCAGAACCTCCCAAGTTGGCAGCATCCGCTCCAGCTCCTCCCGAGGTGGCAGCTCCTTCTGCAGAACCTCCCAAGTTGGCGGCGTCTGCTCCAGCTCCTCCCGAGGTGTCGACTTCCACTGCAGAAACTCCTGAGTTGGCGGCATCCGCTTCTGAACCTCTCAAGGCGGTGGCACCCACTTCTGAACTCTCTGTCTGCCACACCACGGCCAAGAAGGCCATTTATGATACCTCTCTGACTGTCCTGTCCCGGCCAGGGAGGCTGTTCCCGAACTATCTGCATGTCCTCTTATGGCTAAAGATGCCACCTCTGAACTATCTGCCTGTCCTATTACAGCCAAAGATGCCACTTCTGAACTATCTGCCTGTCCTGTTATGGCCACTGAGGCTGCTGTTAACCTCTCTGTGCTCTCAGTTCCAGTTCTACCTGACCTGCCTTGGTGGTCACCTGCCTTGTTAGCTCCACGTTGCTCTGCTCTGGTGGTCCTCAGCTCTGCTCTGGTGCTCTTCAGCTCTGCCTGCTCCACCACCCTGGTGGTCCTCAGCTCCACTCTGGTGGTCCTCAGTTCTGCCTGCTCTGCTCTGGTGGTCTTCTGCTCCACCCTGGTGGTCTTCAGCTCTGCCTGCTCCGCGCTGGTTGTCCTCAGCTCCGCCCTGGTGGTCCTCAGCTCCACCTACTCCACTCTGGTGGTCTTCAGCTCCACCTGCTCCACTCTGGTGGTCTTCAGCTCCACCCTGGCTTCTTGCTCTGCCAGCTTATTTAGATTGATTTTAAATCCACAAAGCTTGCCAAATTCATCTAAGACTTTACGGGCACCTTAGTAGGCATCCCTGCCTTGTGCCTCTACAGATATTAAAGATATCTGAAATAAGTCCACTGGTAGATACTCTGGCCATGGGATTGGCGTATAGGGTTTGTATCATTCTAATGAACTGATCGCCAAAATTTAAAATTTTCAGTGTATACCATTAATAGCCCCATTCTAGCCAATCAAATGATTTTTCAGCATCAATAAATAGGAGGCCGCTAGGTGTTTTCAATTTCCCCGATTCAGCAATAACATGTAACACTCAGCATACATTGTCTGCGGCCAAACGGCCGTAATAATTCCAGATTGATCTGGATCAATCAATTTATGTATCATTGATTGTAGACGTCTGGCAATAACTCTAGCATATATTTTAACATTTCCTTGATCAAGGAAATATGCCTATAGTTAGAGCAATCTGGATGGTCTGCATAGTGAACAGTCTCAGTGCTGTAGAAGACTGAGATTGTGCTATTGAAATTGATGGGTTGGAGCGATCCATAAATGTGTCAAGCACAGCATTCATGTCTGCTCCAATAATAATTGAGTTGCCATTAAGTGATAAAAGAGTTTTTGAAACATTTGGGAAAAAAGGTGCATTACACACAGGGAAACTCTTCAAAGGTTTATTTACAACGTATTATTTGTACAGCAGTTAAGGTTAAGGTAAACAGTAATGATAACTCAAAAAGAAAAGGGAATAAGATGCTTTAGCTTCAGGAGGGGGTTAAGGCTAAAATAACAAACAAAAGGTGTAAGCTACTTAGGAGTAAGGGTGTCTAATTAACCTATCAAACAAAAAGTCAAATAAACAACAACGGCAAGTTCAAGCTCAAACCGGTGTGCACCGTTTTGCTACGGTTTCCGGTTTGAACAAAATGTTTCCTGGAAACGATGTGCAACGGGGTTTGAGATGTGTTTTCTCTTGTTTGGTGGGTGTGTCAAACATGTCAGCCCAATCAGCAGCAACATGTATGTAAACCAATTCTGGAGGGCAAGGGCAGTGACTGTACCATCGAGCGTATTTTGCAGTATTAAACACGTATTTATACCGATTTCATCAGGCTCCGAAAATTCTTCAAAAAGAACACAAAGAATGGCCTTCCCAGCTGCCATAGTTGCAACTCTTGCGTCATCAGAACAGGGTGTTCAACGCACCACCGTTTCCGTTTAAAAAACGTTTTGCACCATTTTTGTCGGGGCTGAACGCAGCCCAGATCTCTTCCCTGACTCTCTTTGTGTTTAAATGCAAGCTCCCCTCCACAACTCTAATGAGAGACAGGTGGCATCAATTAGGCTCCTGTGCAAGGACAGCAGAGTGCTGTCTTTTGCTGACTTCTCAAACAGAAGGCTGCATCCTACCGAGGCTGCGTCCTTCCTAATTCAGTCCTTCAGAGGCTTGTAGGCTAGAGTCCTCCTCAGCATTATTTATATTTTATTTTATTTTATTTAGATAGGGACAGTACAATAAACATGATTCCAGTCAAAGACTGGAAAAAATGCACTGAACAGAGATCATAGCAGGTGCTGATTTGCATCTCATGTCCCTAGAAAGGCTTTTAAAAAACACATCATTACATGTATAAACAACCAAAATAATTATAATAAATCTGTAAAAAAAAATTATGTTATCTGTAAAAAAAAAAGAAAAGAAAAAAAAGTAACAAACTCTTCATATAAAAACCTCACCCATTACAAACAGAATACAAAACAAACACATGCACCTAGTTTTATAGACTCTTCCAATCCTAATAAATAACTAGTACGGAACCATATACAAATGTAAATATGCATACGGGTCTGGTTTATTTTGAGCCAACGTTTAACCTTCAATTTAAAAGACTTTATATCATGTATCACTTTAAATTCATTTGGCAACATATTCCAAAGTTGGGATCCCTTTACAGAGAAAGCTCTTTGCCCTTGTGATGTTCTGCAAAACCCAATCCTACAGTTTCCAACCTCTGTACTCCTAGTGGTTCGGCCTGTGTCATCGTATCTCTTTACCAAATTACATAAAACAGAAGGTGCCTTATTACGCAAACATTTAAAAACCAATTTCATATATGATACATTTTTTAAATTCGTAAAATTAAGCATATGTCATTTCTTTAAAATATGACAATGTTGCCATTGATTTGTTTTTACAAATTGATTTACAGCATCTCAATTTTTCTAATTAAAGAATCACTAGTTTGAGACCAAACTGTAATACAATATGAGATCATTGTATGCAGGAACAGATGAGCTGCCTCAGTCGTAATATAATGCCTAATGAGTTTAAAACAATTTAAATTAATTTGAACTATTTTTGAAAGCCTTTTTGTATGTTTGTCAAATTTAAGTTGTGAATCTAGAACTACTCCTAAAAAATTGCATTTACTTCCTCTATTTCTTCATTAAATACCCTGATTTTTTTCTTTTTCTGTTTTCTTTCTAACACATAAACACATAAAAACCGTTTTCTTAACATTTAATGTAAGATTATTTTCCTGGAGCCATTTGGATATCTTTTCCATTTGCTCATTTAATAGTGCAACAACCTTAGCTGATGACTTAGCAGGGCCCGTATTTACAAAACATTTTATCTTACCA